CTTATGACGTGTTCACATTTTAACCGACTTTCTGCAAAACAGAATTCGCCAATTTCTTTGATATATTTGAACGAGACGTTTGTTTGTTTGCATTTGTAAAACGCTCTATCTCCATATATATTTGCTGGGTATATTGGCTTACCACTCGGGTCTGGATTATAAAACGCACTTTTAAAATTATCAAACGTTTCTTTTACAAAGTACATTCCCTTCATATAATTGAATGAATGTACCACATTCTCTGTTCTGGCTATATCCTGTTCACCAATTGTTTCTTTATATGGAATTAAATAGTCAACGATTATGTTTTTACCTCTAATTTCTTTGGAATACAACGCGTCGAAAAAAGTGAGATAAATGACTCCTCTGCGACACTCCAAATCAACAGTTTTAACTTTTCGAATATTTAAATTTTTAAGTGTCGTGTTTAAATAAATTTTGATGTTACTACATTCAAACATTTTCAGGGTTATGATGTTGATATTATCCAACTCAAAAGTCGAGTGTGAAAGATTTTTTATCTTTAGTTTTGTTAGCGAAGTTGGCAATTCAACACAATTAAAAGATTTAGAAACTATTTCAAATGAAGACAAATTTTTCAATTTCATTTCATTTGTGATGAGTTGGGGAGTTGTTGTAAAGTCAAATTTTTCTTTGTAATAAAACGACTTAGTGTCAAATTCGAGAACTTCAAGATCTTTTACTAAATTAACAAAAATTTTGTATACATTCTGTTGGTCTGAATTGATCTCATAAAATTTTGGTATATTCTCAATATCAAGTGGATGTTCTTCAATCCACTGAATATAACATTTTTCACTTAACATCATATCATAATGTTTTGTTAAGCCAAAAAAGTGGGTCATTGAGACTTGTTTGAGATATTTTATTTCTTTTCTTTTTGTAACTTCGACAGTTGTTATATTGTCACAAAAGACTGTAATTTCACCAGTAGAATTTAATTCAAGATATTTTAAATTGTTTGGTATTTTTAAGTTGAATTTAACATTTTCGTCATTGTTAATTACAAGTTTTTTAGTTTTTATATTAGAAAGGTCCAAATCCATTAAAGTACTCTTTTTAACAGTTAATTCATCAATCTTTAATTTGGTCATGTCAACAAAACACAAAAAATTTGGTGTTTCATTTTCATATATACAAACACTCTCTTTAAAATTATGTAAAGAAATTGGTATATCCCAGTTGTTAAACACAGAAAAGTCGTTAACATTTAGTATCATTATTTTAAAATGAAGCTTGAGCTTGTCAAGTATTTCTCTCTCTTCAATTTTAAACTCTTCATTTGGCAAATACAAAAGCAAATTTAAAAGTAAACCTCTATATGCACTAATAAAAGGTACAAAGTATTTCAACTGTTCGTTATCACTAACAAAAATTCTAATCCTTTTTAGTGTATGCAACTCAACAAAAACGTTAATATTAAAGTCTACAATTTGCAGAAAAAGTTCTGCTTTCTCATTTGGTATATTTACGTCATAATCAATCGTTGGTACAACAATAGTTATATCTGAAAGACTTAAAAATTGTTCAATTTTGTTTAATAAAAAATTCAAAGAACTTTTGTTGTACAAAACATATGTCTGATATTTTTTGAGATGTTCAATTGTAACAATTTGAAATCTTGAAAAATTTACAAAGTATTCTTTGTTTTTTATTGTGTCATTTTGGTCTAACGAATTATGAAATTTTATGTATTTTATTTTTGACAAAACATTATCGGGAACAAACATTTCATAAAACGGCAAATATAAAGTTTGGATGTTCGGAAACAACTTTAAAATATCAAGTGCATAGTGCTCGTATAAGTACTTATTGTACACAGAATCATCATTTAAAGTTTGAATGTTTTCTATAATAAGTGGATTGATTTGAAGACGCTCCATTACTCGTTTGCATTTTCTATTTATAGTGGAAAAAGTGAATAGAGATTTGAATGTGTGAATATATAAGACAACATTCATAAGAAAAAATTCTTCTAGTTTCGTTGTCATTTAATTTTTTAGTTTTTCAGTAGTTTTTGAAAATTTTCATATCATGTATTTTATTTTTATTTTCAAAAATAGACAAATCATTGATTGTTTTATATATTCGGTGAAATCATGGTGTAAATTTTTTTATCTAAAACCCAATTTGTGGCAATTTGTTACTTTGATTTTTTTTTAAACATTCGGAAAATAAATGAAATATTTTGAATTTAAAAAAAACGTGTGTACAAATAATGTTATTACAAAAATAATATATTTTATTATAAAATATAATATAATACGAGTTTAAAACTTCTTTTTATCTAATCATAAAATAAATCATAATTGTAAAATTTAAATTTTAAAAATTTTAGTTGAAATATTTATTATTAGTTTAAGATTCAATAATTTGTTTTTAAAAAAAATTATTTAGACAATAAAATTTAT